GAGATGATATTTTAATATTTGCAGTTCTGAGGTAGAGTGGAACTTAGTTCCACATTGTGATTTAGAAATTTTTTAAACCTTTTTTCTTCAGGGGAGAAGTGAGCCAGGCCTCAAGTTTAGTGCTAAAGCCACTAATGTGCTTATGCTGTTCCCTAACCACCACATGTGACATGGAGGCATGGAGGCGGAGGCTGAAAATAGGGGCTAAGAAAGTGAAAGGAAATTAGCAAGTGTTATTTGTTGTTGACTACTGCTATCAAGTGAACTCAGAGGAAACAGGTTTTTCTGTCATATTTAAGTTATAGAAATCTGGCAGCCTTAGAATAGTTTCTAGAGGTTATTGAAGAATAAAAAGCTAAGAAAACTTGGTATACATTTATAATTGGAATATAATTATACATTTTACTCTCAGAATATTACTTATATTCTTGCATTTATATAATGCCTGATCCTTTCAGAGTTCTTTCACATATATGATCTTCTTTATGAAACAAAGTAGATGCTTTATTCTAATATATCCGGTTTCCCACGTTAGGGTAAAAGTAGGTTAACAGAATGATAAATTCAAAGTAGATGAAAAAATCAGGGACAGAGAAGTCAAAGTAGGGACAGAGAGACCCAAATTCATACAATAAGATAATGGCATCACCACCATTTACATTGATCATCAAAGGCTGGGCTGGATTTGTCTTGGTATATGTGTCAGGAAATTTATACCTATTACGTTTTTCATTTTCTCAAAATAAGTCATATGATTGTAATGTTTAGCTGCAACTTTTCTCATAACAAATAGTGTCATGAAGAATATTGTAGTGTGAAGTTTGTACATTTCAGGGTCAGTTATATAGTGTGAACTCATGATCTAAGGGAATGAGAATGGAGGATCATTGGAGGCCATGATATAAACAGATTTGCATGTTGAATCCTGTATAAAACATGATACTGTGAGTGAATAACCCCATCCCCAAGAGCACTTTATACATATTAAATAGATATGATTACTGTGCAAAAATTCACTCTGGAAATGAATAGATATTAGAGCACAAATGTACATCTTCTGCCCTAAGGAGAAAAGAAATTATAAAACTTGTTTTATATTCAAAATTACATTCCCGAGCATGTCTTAGAATAATCTATGTTTTGATGCATGTAAATTGTATTTTAGGTAGACAAAGAAACAAATCTGGTTTATTTATGTAAAAACTAGTCTAATAAAGTTAGTAGCTTTATTGTTTTAAATCTTTAGTGTCTAAAAGTGTTATTTAAAGTAACACTAGCACATCAGAAAACCTTTTGCAGACAAAACTAGTTAACACCGCTTCTGCAACTGCGATTGCTCCCTTTAGGGCTAAAAACAGGATCCAAATGTTACATGTGTTGATATTATAACTTGTAGGTTACTGATATCTGTGGTATCCTACTCTCATCTCTCAAAGGAATAATACTGAATAATTATTAGAAAACTATAAAACTTTACGCTTTGTACCATTAAATCCTAAAATTTTAATCCTATCCTTTTTTAGTATGGATCAGTCAGCCCTTGGGAACATATTTAACATCTGGGTAGGAGCAGGGAAAAAAAGCAAATTGCATTCATATGTTCTATGTTCATACCTCTTATCTACCTAATTGTTCATTTAATTTCACCCTTATTCCTTGATAAGGGATTTTACCACATGAAGTCATCCAATGACCTTCCCTCTTATTGTGAAGTTAAAGATTAGTGAAGTAGAGACGGGGTTTCACCATATTGACCAGGATTGTCTTGATCTCTTGACCTCGTGATCCACCTGCCTTGGCCTCCCAAAGTGCTGGGATTACAGGCTTGAGTGGCGCATGCCTGTAATCTCAGCTACTCAGGAGGCTGAGGAGAGAGAATTGCCTGAACCCAGGAGGCGGAGGTTGCGGTGAGCCGAGATCACGCCATTGCACTCCAGCCTGGGCAACAAGAGCGAAACTCCATCTCAAAAAAAAAAAAAAAAAAAAATACAAAAAATTAGCTGGGCATGGTGGCACGTGCCTGTAATCTCAGCTACTCAAGAGGCTGAGGAGAGAGAATTGCCTGAACCCAGGAGGCGGAGGTTGCGGTGAGCCGAGATCACACCATTGCACTCCAGCCTGGGTAACAAGAATGAAACTCCGTCTCAAAAAAAAAAAATGATTAGTGAAGTATACTTACAAAACATTTATTAAAGCTCATATTTAAAGTAGAGCATCTAGTTTGAGAAACAGAAATCAGATAATTATTAAAGATGTCTTTTTTCTACCCACTTAACTAGTTAAAACCATGCCATCTAAATGTAGAATTATCTTACTGAATTCCCTAAAATATTTCTGTTTACTGGTATATATTGACCAAGTAAATCAAGCAGGAGAAATCTTCCTTCATTCTGTTATAGTCCACATCATTCTCCCTAATTTTGCTCAGTTGTTGTTAAGAGCATATTTCTAAACGATACACTTTTGTTTCAATAAAGTTTTATTTTGTTGAGATGAGTAAAATATCAGAATTATAAGCTACATAAGACAAGAGTTTAATTGTTCAAAAAACTTTACTGGGATAGCTTTCTATTATAGATAGTTGATTATATTGCTCAGATAAGGTTACTTTCTAAAAAAATGTTTGTACTTTTCTGTAAATTAAAAGAAATGGAATCATAAAATGGCAAGTGTTTTAGGGTTAGCCTAAAATTGGGCATTGTCACAGATTTCAAAGAAGGTATGAACTAGCAAGCTTATGCCTAATTCTTCCTTGGTCTGGTCCTTGGCAGCAGTACCTTTTCAGACTTCGTAAACAGAATTCAGACAGAGGAAGTCAAAACAAAACTTTACGGAGCCAAGCGTATTAGCTGTTGCATTAATCTGTTTTTTCTATCATATACACTGCTAGTATGTGCATTAGCATGATATTCTCATATGCATTGCATTAAAAATTAAAAGGTGGGAGCTCAGGGTGAGCTCTTCTGTTATTCATTTGTTCCTACATTTTCTTTCTTTTCTTTTCTTTTTCTTTTTTTTTTTTTTTTGAGATGAAGTCTCGCCCTGTCGCCAGGCTGGAGTGTAGTGGCACAATCTTGGCTCACTGCAACCTCTGTCTCCGGGGTTCAAATGATTCTCCTGCCTCAGCCTCCCTATTAGTTCAGACTACAGGTGCACACCACCATGCCCATCTAATTTTTGTGTTTTTAGTAGAGACAGGGTTTCACCATGTTGGCCAGGATGGTCTCAATCTCTTGAGCTCGTGATCTGCCCTTCTGGGCCTCCCAAAGTTGTTTCTAAATTTTTAAGGGCCTTTTCCTCAGTCAATAGTTTCTACAAATGGGTTAGTTTAACTTCGTTACCCATTTCACTAAAGTTGATGGATTGTGATGAGAGGCATTTAAGGCCAATAGTGATATTTTCTTATCCCTTGAACACAAGCTTTGTCTGAATGATGCTCTTTCATCTCTTGAACACAAGCTTTGTCTGAATAATAATTACAGGTTTCAAATGCTGTTACATTAATACCATAATGTGATGTGTCAGAAACAAAGGGATATTTTAAAGGTAGATATTTGAAAATTCTCTAGTCTCAATGTATATGTTTATTGAATATAAACAGGTACTCTAAAAATAAATGTGCAAATTGTTAGTAGGACAATGCAGTGATTAGCATTTGGTATGTCTCTTTTATATCCTATCTATGTCCCATTTTCTTCTAAGTGCAGTCCTTTCGTGTGCACTTGCTGTTGAGAAGCCTTGTCTAGAGTATAGCATGTATTTTTACCTTTGCAGTGAATTGCATGTGCTAATTGTAACCACAGCTGTCATTTTTACATTGACATAACTCCAAATGTTATCTTAAATATTCTATTACATATCAGCTCTAATCCTATAAGTAAATTTTAAGAAATAAATTCTTGTTCAAATTTAAAAAAAAAAAAAGAAAAGAAAAGAAAAAGAAAACACAGTGACATGATTAAATCACCAAGAAAGGAATGGACTGGTAATCCAACTGGTGGAAAATAAAACAAAATGGGGTTGGATTTTGAATGCCCTCCCAAGTCAGCCAGTAGCTCTTCTATATCCATGGGTGTAGTATGGAGAGAAATCTGTGAACAGTCTAAGAACTTTACATATCAACTGTTTTTTTGTGAGCTTCTTTGGTTTATGTTGTGAAACATAAAATCAAACCTGACATAAATCTTGAGATAATTATGTTGGTTGTGCATCATAATGGGTATAATGACTATAAAGGATAGTCATTATCTCCCACAGACCACTGCCAACCATTTGCTAGTAATGTGGTGGAAACAGGTCCAAATAATCAGAACCAGTATTGTAGGAGTTGTATGCCTGTCACCCTGGTGATGAGATTTCAGCTATCATCTACTCTACTCTGTTGGGACGAGGAGGAGGAGAATTCACCTAACCACAAAGGATTGTCTGTCTGGAGCTCTCCCCTCCCCATCGATCACTCCTCCTCACGCTCCACCTTGCAGGCCTATTGTAGACACCCCATCATCCTTCATTTGGCAAAACAAAGTTAGAAGCCAAGTCAGGAGGCTGGGATCCTTTCCAGTTCAAAGAACAAAACGTGCCAGACATTAATGGGGCCTAAAGGTTGCACATGCCCATTTGGAAAATTTATGCTTCGCAGTGCTTGCTCATTGCTTGCTCAAAGAGTCAAAGCCGAAAGAGTTAAAGTCTTTCCAAACTTATCCTCTGCAGCACCTGACTTACTAAGTGGGATTTGAGTAACTCCTAGCATCATCACTCTTTGTCACTAGTAATTGCATCTTAGTATCCCTTGAGTAATACATCTTTTTTTGTGCGTATTACTTTGTGCGTAGTAACTTTGCATGCTTGGAAGCTATATTTATGGAAGTTATATATATATATATTTAATTCTATGATGCTGTGTGTGCATTTTCAACTGAGAACTGATGAAGTATTTATAATTTGAGCCAGGAACTTAACATTTACTGTGTACTGATTCTGCCAATTTTAACATTTCGCAGAAATGAGGATGCAGTCAATCAAATGGCTGTGACGCCTTTTCCAGTGCCATCAGGTTCTCCATCTTCTGTTGAGGTAAGGTTGTTTCCAATTAGCTCTTAGTGAATTAGCTGGATTTGTTATGAGCATTTCCCCCATATCTGACATTTTTGTTATTCAGTATTTGGTATTCCAAACTCTTGAAAAATTTCCCTGACCAAAATAGAAAGTATTTGAAGTATTGATTATAAAGTAATTTTTTAGTAAATATGGTAGAACTTAGCCATATATATAGTACCTTCTTTGGACTGCTCTAAATATATAATTTTGTCCTAATTGGGCATTTCAGAATTTATAAGAAAATTCGTTTTGTTTATGACTGAATTTATTACCCCTTTCTTTATGGCTTTGAAATACTTTAATACCTATGATCACAGGAGTCTTTAAATCGTTACTTTCATCTGTTAATAGAGAAAGTGCTAGCAGAACACGATTGCTATAACATTGGTCAGCTTCTGGAGTAGATGTAGAATTGTGTCCCCAGTTTGTCTCCCCAGCTAAAAGAATATTCCTTCTCTTCTTATTTCATATTTATTGAATTATTTTTCAACTCCAAAAAGAAGTATACTAATTAAATAGTACAGGTTTTTCAAAGAAATCTCTATTTTTCTTTCAGTAACTCCTTAAGGAAGTTAATGTTCACTATTCAATGTCTTTTCATACTTTTTCCTTTGCTTCTGTAGACAACATGTATAGCTATATATAGTGTCCCTTTTAATAAAAATTTGATTGTGCAATACACATGATTTTTATTCTTTCAACAAGTTTTCGGGGTTCTGGGCCAAGGTGAATGGTAGGTGGGATGGAGGTGACCTCAGAGCTGCACTTGGAAGACACAATGAAGAGTCACTCCATTGTTGGGAGTCCTGTGCACACATTCACAGGGACTTAATCTGGGTTGCCATGGGACCCTGTCAGATGAGCATGCTGGGGTGATATCTGTTCTAGCCCAGCAAGCAGCTAAGCCAACCTCTGATCCCACTGACATGGCTATGGTGTGTTCAGAGTCAGCTAATGGGAACGTTATGATCCAGAAGCTGATGGCATCACAGTGGCAGTACACAAAATGGCCTCTTGATGTCTCCTATCTGTCCTTCAGCAGCTTGTCATAGGAACTCGATTCTATGTTAATTATCTTACAGAACTACTAAAGTTCCAATAGTTAGGCCATTCATTTAATGTGCAATGGGCACTTTTCTATTTATTTAAGACTGAATTGCTTTTTAACACTATGGACTGATCTATCAAGATAGTAGTAAGAAAGGATCATGTTTTAAAGCAGCAGGTCCAGGTCACTTTGTATATAGAATTTTGCTATATTCAATAAATCTGTTTGGAGCGGGGAGTGGGGGAAAAGCAAGCATTCAATGGGTGCGTATTATTTGTTAAGCACTCTTTTGGGCATTAGAGATCTAGGTGTAAATAAAACAGATAAGGCTTCCTACCAATTTGTTACCTTTCTCATGGTTGAAGAGAGAAAGATACAAATTAACTAAGAAACAAATAAACCAAGAGAATTCTCATATAGTGGTCAGTGCCTTGGAGAGAATTAAAGTGGGGAATGTGACTACTTGCTTAGTTTTAGAGAAGGTCACTTGTGTAGCCGAAATACAGATTAGTCACCTGCTGCTTGCAGAGTCGTTAGCAAGAAGGGGTCTGGTATAAAGAAGGTGGTTTATTCCAAAGCTAGCTTTGGGGAAGGAATACAGGCTTCCTGCTTTAAGGGTAACTGCTTCACTTTTGGAGCAGAAAGCTGGCACTTTTAAAAGGCAGGGGAGGTAATGAGCAAGGGGGAGGTCCATGAACTGGCTCCAGTGCCTTAGCTACCGGGCAGTCGAGCTAGTACCTGCTTGTGCGGGACTAGGTCAGATTCTTCCCAGGTAGAGGAGAGTTTCCTATCTCTCAAGGCAGTCTCCTGGTCGAGCAGTGGCGGCCCATATAATCAGCTGTTATCTCTCCAGGCAACCTTCTGGTGAGTGAGAGTTTCTTCCTGGATCTCTCCCAGGCATACAGTTAGATGAATTTGCCCTATAGGGAGTGTCTGGTGAAGGGGAGGTAAAAGGCTATATTTGCATTTCTTTTTTTCTTTTTGAGATAGAATCTCACTCTGTTACTGAGGCTGGAGTGCAGTGGCATGATCTTGGCTCACTGCAACCTCCACCTCCCAGGTGTCAAGCCATTCTCCTGCCTCAGTCTCCCGAGTAGCCGGATTACAGGTGCCTGCCACCACACCCAGCTAATTTTTGTATTTTTAGTAGAGAAGGGGTTTTACCATGTTGGCCAGGCTGGTCTCGAACTCCTGACCTCAGGTGATCTGCCCGTCTGGGCTTCCCAGAGTACTGGGATTAAAGGCATGACCGTATATTTGCATAAGTAGGAAGTGGGGAACTGGGGGAATGAGAAAAGAAGAGAGAAAAAAAATAATTATCTCTTAGAAAAATGGTAGTGCTTGGTTACACTTGGGCAAAGTGAAATCTAAAGAAAATAAAAATTAAAAGAAAAAACCAGACATTCAAATATAAGAGGGAGGAGCCTTCCCCGCTTAGCAGATAGAAATAGCTCTCAGGTGAGAATAAGCTGGGATGTATTTGAGGAATATGGCTGGAAGCATATTGGGAGCCAGGAGAGCAGTGGAGTATGAGACAAGAGGGAGAGAAAGACTATGAAGTCGGAGTTAGAAGTTTGGGTTTTATTTTATATGCAGTGGAAGCCACTGGAAGTATTTAAACAGGGGAGTGACGTGACCTCAAACATAGTTTTAAGGGATCCATCTGCCTATTTAGGGGAAGAAAAATAACTTTTTTCTTCAAACCTCACAGGTTCTTAGTTGGAATGGACCCTTGTAACAAAAGATAGATTAACAGGAGAAAAACAGAAGTTTAATGACATATGTGTTTCCTATATACATGGCAAACACCCAGGGAATGAGTAGTTCTCAATGAGGTGGGTTTAAATTCTAGCTTAAATAGCATCTTCAACAAAATGATAAATGTTTAGAGAAGTGACAAGGCAAAGGAAGAAGACTTTGCTTCTAGGGATGGCAATTTGAGGGAAGGTAAGCAACTGGCAGATAAAGGCTAGGTGGTATAGCTTGTTCATGTGGATTCTCCTGGTACCATCTCCAGGGGATAAGGGTTCCGTGTTGTCTTTATGGGTGAACCTTTGTTCTCCCTGGTGCACAGGGAGGGAGATATCTTTTATATATGTCTATGTTGTCCTGCTTTTAGACAAACAGAGGGAGAGCAGAGGGTTTTCCTGCATCTGCTTCTTCCTAATTGCCTTCAGCTCAATGATCCTTCCTTTTTAGAGTGGTATATTCTCATCTCCCGCAGCTGCTAGGTAGGGAATGGGTTGGTAGGAAGGTAAAAGTAATATGCTAAAAGGCAAAAGCCCCAGTGAGGCCCTGATGTGGCTTGGATGAAGTGTTGCTATTGGAAGCAAAGAAAAGTGAGCAGATTCTTGATGTTTTGGAGGTTGAGTCAAACTTGATTAATTAAACACGGGGGCTGAGGAGAAGTAGAGAATCATGGATAAACCTAGATTTTTGGCTTGAGCAACTGGGTGGATAGTGGTACTATTGACTAGAGTCTCTCGAAGAATAGCTGTTCTGAAAATTTAGAAGACTGATTTTATTTTTAAATAAAGCCGGCTAGTATGTAAAATAAAAAGTACAGGCTAGTATGTAAAATAAAAAGTACAGGCTAGTATGTAAAATAAAGCAGGCTAGTATGTAAAAAAAATATTGTAAAGTATAAACAATGCCAGTGTTAAGTTTCAAGAACATTATCATAGTATCTTAATCAAATTTATGTGCCATTATTTGTATTTCATTCTCAAAAATAATGAAATCACATTAGGCATTTAAATGTATAAATAAAGAGTAAATCCCTTTGTCTAAAAGCATATGCCGTGCGGGCGATGTTTCTATCGAATCATCACAATTTGATTATATTTTAGAGAGGGCATTTTAGTTCCTGTCTGGACTGTTGGCTCTGGTAACTGCTACCAAATGATGAATGCCACCCCTCCTGTGGGTGGTATGTGAAGACTACACATGTGCTCTGGTTTCCCGACCACTTTCTCTTTGCTTCTCATTTGCTCCTGTGGACCCTCTTAGTATATCTTTTTCCCCCTTGGATGTTTCTAGTGAGTACTTAAGCATAACTCTTATCCAGCATATGGCTAAAAGAGACAGCCCATTTAAAGTTACATAACCAAATAGATGAAATAGAGCCATATCATTACTAAATTGGACCTGTTAATAATAATTCAGCATTATTAAGTAGCACTTTCATTATGTGCTAATGGTATCTCATATTTATTTCTCTATTCAGGAAATGCTTATTGAGGTTTTTTTTTTTGAGATGGAGTTTCACTCTTGTTACCCAGGCTGGAGTGCAATGGCGCGATCTAGGCTCACCGTAACCCCCGCCTCCTGGATTCAGGCAATTCTCCTGCCTCAGCCTCCTAAGTAGCTGGGACTACAGGCACACGCCACCATGCCCAGCTGATTTTTTGTATTTTTAGTAGAGACGGGGTTTCACCATGTTGACCAGGACGGTCTCGATCTCTTGACCTCGCGATCCACCTGCCTCGGCCTCCCAAAGTGCTGGGATTACAGGCTTGAGCCACCGCGCCCGGCTGCTATTTTTTTTTTTTTTGAGACAAGATCTTGTTCTTTTGTGCTAGAGTTCTGTGGTGCTATCATGGCTCACTACAGCCTCAAACTCCTGGGCTCGATCGATCCTCCTGCCTCAGCTTTCCAAGTAGCTGGGACTATAGGCACATACTATCATGTTTGGCTACATTTTTAAATTGTTTGTAGAGACTCTCACCATGTTACCCAGGCTGGTCTTGAACTCCTGACCTCAAGCAATCTCCCATCTTGGCCTCCCAAAGTGCTGGGATTACAGGTGTGAGCTATTGAGCCTAGTCTTATTGGGCTCTTATTATGTGTCAGTGTTCTAGACCCAAAGGGTATAGTAGAGAACAAAATTGTTTCATGCAGTTCTGTGCTAGTAGCGTGAGCAAGAGTG